TCTTTTTTAATATAAAAGCAAGTTTTATTTAGAGCAAGTTTATTTTACTATTGTTCTTGCAATAGTGATAAGACTTTCTCTAATGATACAGATTCTACAACAATAGGCATATAACTGTGAAATATAGTGGTTAAGTGAAATGATAGAGAATTTTGTAAGCTTTTTAACTAGATAAAGCTACTCATAACCAGATCTACGTTTATTAGCAGCTGTACTAGAACCATTATCAGCCACAGAACAATCCCTAAATCTACGTTTAGTACTAGAAGATGTAGAAGACGTAGAATAATCTGCATTATTTAATTTTGTTTGTAGTATATCAAGCCTTCTCAGTTCACTAGATAGATTAGTGTCACAATCCTTTACTGCAGAGAGACGTGCTTTATATATTGTTTCTCATTCATCTCGTCTGCCCTGCTATGTATACATATGTTCTACAGATAAAATCTCATTAAACTGCTCTTTAGCACCTTCAAATTGTTCACGATGGTACTGTATCTCCTTTCCTACTTTAACAATTTTCTGCTGTAATTTTTGAGCGTCAGTTGTAATTGAAGTATCACCTGTACTAGAACTACGTATAGCTGAATTATTCGGATCTTTCATGCAACTATTATAGCCAGCTGCATCACTACCCACTGGTGAAGTAATTCCAACTTTATTAGAAACACCCGTAGGACCACCAGAATAAGACATAGCTAAATTATGTGTAAGTCATTCATTAATTAAAATCCTAACAGCTGATAAACTGCAAAAAATAACTTAAGCTAACCGCTCAGTTATCTAGATTAGTCAAAATGTCATATTCTAAATAACTCCAAAGAATGAATCTTAGTGCATAAAAACCAGCTGCAGTGAAAACGCTACTAATGAATCCAGCAACAAATCTTTTTACTAAACAGAACACTTTTTAAAAAAATTTACTATATGACTAGCTACTCAACTTTTTAGACCAAACGTACCGTTCCGAGTTTTTGAATTAATTAAGCTGTGTTGTAAATTAGCTTTAAGATAACCTCTTAGCATAGTAGCTGATTCGTTATTAAAAGAAGAACGGATGTTTTTTAAACTACCTGCATATCTATATTTAAATACTGCTCTCATAGCAGTTAGTCTTCTTGTTAATCTACCAGACGCCTCAAATCTAACACCACTTACCACTTGTTGTTTTATATTGTTAATAACATTATTTTTGTTTAGTGTTTCCGTATTATCGTCAAAAGTAATACGAGTATGTAAATCCGCGATTTTTGCCATTTGTAAAACGGCTTTTCGTAATACTCTCACTACTTTGTTTTTTCTGTCTGTTAATTTTAACGCAACGGCTGATGAAAATACATCACTATTAAGATATAAAGCTTTAGATTCAACTACGTTAATTTTTGTTTTTTTGTTGTAAAGTTTTTCTAATAGGCTAACTAAACCTAACTTTCCCCAGTTTAACATTATATTTGATAAAAGAGATATAGTAAAATGAATATTATTTGTATAATGGAATAAAGCTTTTTTCAATTTAAACAGTTTTTTTAATCGTCTACTATTATAGTTCGGTATTCTGTAGAAATCAAAGTATATTTTTCTCAGTTTTGTTCTAATCGAGTATTCAAATAAATTCGTCTTTTCTTTAAAAAAAGCTATGTTTCATTTATTGAATACAAAAAGGTT